AGAATGAAGAAGTTAGTTGGGAAAGAAAAATAAAAGTACATTATTAACCTTGAAGGCAATGTTGTTATTGTGCACCATTTTGTTGGCATCGACCCATAACTGATCCACCAGCAAGTTTTCAAAGGCAGTTAATTACTTGATAGGAATTTGCCCATTCTTTCCTCATGGAGCAGCTTGTGGATTCAAACAGGATGCCTTTGGGATTAACGGGAAATAATATCAACCAGCCATTCACATCCCAGACACTTGGCCAACTGACTGGATGAGATCTATATTTGTTCCCATTCCAAAGAAGGGTGACCCAACAGAGTGTGGAAACTATAGAACAATCTCATTGATTTCACATGCAAGCAAGATTCTGCTGAAGATTATCCAGAAACAATTGGAACAGTACATCAGCCGAGAACTGCCAGAAGTCCAGGCTGAGTTTAGAAGGGGTCGTGGAACTATGGGTATTGTAGCTAATGTTAGATGGATCTTGGCTGAAAGCAGAGAGTACCAGAGGAATGTTTATCTGCGCTTCATTGATTATGCAAAGGCGTTTGACTGTGTGAAACATAACAAACTGTGGCTGACTCTGAGAAGAATGGGAATCCCAGAACACTTGATCATGCTAATGAGAAACCTATACTTGGACCAAGAGGCAGTCGTCAGAACAGAGCAAGAAAACACTGCATGGTTCAAAATTGAGAAAGGCCTACGTCAGGGATGTGTACTATCTCCATACCTTTTCAACCTGTATGCAGAACAGATCATCCAGGAGGCTGGGGTCTATGAGGAGAAATGCGGCATCAGGTTTGGTGGAAGATCTATCAACAATCTGCATTATGCAGATGACACAACCCTGCTTGCTGAAACTGAGGAGGACCTGAAGCGCTTGCTGCTGAGGGTCAAGGGCTGCAGCCTTCAATATGGATTGAGGCTCAATGTCAAGAAGACAAAGATTCTCACCACTGTACCAAATGGCAGCATCAGGATGGATGGTGAAGAGATTGAGATTGTTCACAGCTTTAGTTTGCTTGGCTCCACAATCAATACTCTAGACACCAGCAGCCAGGAAATTAAAAGACATATTGCGATGGGAAAGTCTGCTCTTAGGGACCTCTCCAAAGTACTGAAGAGCAATGGTGTCTCTCTGGAGACTAAGGTGGGTCCGATACAGGCCATGGTCTTTGCAATCACTTGTTATGCATCAGAGAATTGGACAATGACTAGGGAGGTTAGAAAGAGAATTGATGCCTTTGAGCTTTGGTGTTGGAGAAGAGTATTGAGAATACCATGGACTGCTAGGATGACAAATTAATCCTTGAGAGGGTTAAACCAGGCTTCTCCTTGGAGGCAAGGATTCTGAGGCTTCATCTGACATACTTTGGTCATGCTGTAAGGAGATACTGGTCCTTGGAGAGGGACATCATGCTTGGGAGGGTGGAGGGCTGGTACAGGAGGGGAAGGTCCTCTATGAGGTGGATTGATTCAGTGACTGGGGAATTGGGATGAGTGTGTCAGAGACAATGGGATTGACACAGGACAGAGCAGAGTTTAGGGCTGTTGCACATAGGATCGCTATGAGTCGCAAGCGACTTGACAGCACATAACAACAACAATGTCAACCAGATTTAGAGAGAAAGAATAAAATGTTGATGGATTTGAAGTGGCACAGCGAGGAGTGAGGTAGAGAAAGAGAGACTGTTAGCAAAAGCAAAAGATTACCAGAAAGAATTTAAGGCAAGGATACGTGCTTATATAAAATGGGTATTAGGACAGGAGGAAAATTCATTAACAACCTGAGTTATGCAGAAGACACAACCTTGCTTGCTGAAATGGAGGAGGACTTGAAATGCTTGCTGCAGAAGATCAAAGACTACAGCCTTCAATATGAATTACATCTCAACATCAAGATGACAAAAATCTTCATCATTGGACTGATAAGCAACAGCATGATACATAGAGAAAAGATTGAAATTCTCAACAACTTTCTCTTACATGGATCCACAATCAACACCCCTGGAAACAGCAGTCAGGAGATCATGAGACATACTGCATTGGGCAAGCAAAGACCACTCTAAATTACTGAGGAGTGATGAGGTCAGTTTGAACACTAAGGTGCACCTGATTCAGGCCATGGTCTTTTCAATAACTTGCTATACATCTGAGAACTAGACAGTGAATAAGGATGATAAAAGAGGAATTGATGCTTTTGAACTGTGGTGTTGGAGAAGAGCACTAAATATCTCAAGGACTGCCAAAAGAACCAACAAATATCTCTTGAAGAAAGTGCAGCCAGAATGCTTCTTAGAGGCAAAGATGGCAAAGCTTTGTCTTACATTCTTTGAGCAAATTGCTAGGAGAGGCTATTTCTTGGAAAGGGATATCATGTTTACCAATTGATGGTCAGTGAAAGAGAGGAAGACCCTCAGTGGCTGACACAGGGACTGCAACAATGGGATCAAGTGTGTCAGAGATGATGAAGATTACACAGGATAGGACAGGGTTCAGATTTGTTGTTCATAGGATCACAATGAGTAATACTTGACTTGATGACACCTAACAACAACAACATAATGACTGAAAAGATTTCTACAGTAACAAAGCTACCACAAAGTAGACCATGGAAGGGATTATTCTGAAGCCTTTTCATAAGCTTCCTGGTGAATATTTTCAGGATTAAATACAAGAAAGATAATTGTTAATTGTTAGACAACCACATTATTTTTTTTTATCTTTAACAATCATTTACTTTGATTTGTACTTGCATAATGACAATGTATATTTCTGTAGCCAAAGTGAAATTCGAAGAAGACCAGAATGAATGACTTAGGAAAAAATGTTGAAAATTGCTGAGAAATGTGAGGTTAAACAACCCTGTACATGGATCTGGAGTTAAAGCACAGATTTGCTTTTTTTCACACTACATTGACATTCCTATTTGAATGTTTGTGTGTTGAATATTCATATTGAATGCATTTGCATACATTGACAGTCCTTCAAGCTCTCCCTATTTAGATGATCACATTGCTATCTTCAAAACAGGGCTAGAAGTCTTCTGATTGATAGAGTGAAGATCAAAGAAAATAGTCTATGCAAAATTGAAGACACACGATTAAGCATTTGGGTGCTAACCAAAAACTTAGTATTTTGAACACACATCACTCTACCGAAGAAAGATGTGACAGTTTGTGCCTATAAAGACTGCAGCCTTGGAAACCTTATAAGGTAGTTCTACTCTGTACATTGTTGTTGCTAGGTGTCGTCAAGGAGAATATGACTCCTAGCGACCATATGAACAATAGATCTGAACTCTGTCCTATCTTGTGCCATCTTCATCATCTCTGACATACTTGAGTCCATTGTTGTAGACATTGTGTCTGTCTTATTGGGGGGGGGGGTCATCCTTTCTTTTCTGACCCTCCACATTTCAAAGCATGATGTTGCTTTCTAAGGAGTAACCTCTCCCAGCAACATGCCCAAAGTATGAGAGATGAAACCTTGCCATCTTTGCCTCCAAGAAGCAATCTTGTTGCACTTTCTCAGGACATAACTTTGTTGCTTTGGCAGTCCATAGAATATTCAGTATCCTTCTCTAATACCATGGTTCAATGGCATCAGTTCTTCTTCTGTCATCCTTATTTATCTTCCAGTTCTCAGAAGCATAGCAAGTGACTGAAGAGACAATGGTCTGAAGGAGGCACTTTTAATCTTTAGATTGACATCATTGCTTTTCACTATTTTGGAGAGATCTCTGCCAGTAGAGTTGCCCAATGCAATACATCTCATGACTGCTGGTACCAATAGTATTGCTTGTTGATCCAAGCAAGATGGAATCATTGACAAGTTCAATCCTTTCTCCATCTCTCATGATGTTGCCTGTTAGGCCCGTGGTGAGGATCCTTGTTAATGCTGAAGGCTATTCTTTTGATCTTCTGCAGCAAGTATTTTAAAGTTCTCCTCAGTTTCAGCAAGTAAAGTTGTGTCATCTGCATAATCCAAGTTGTTGATTAATCTTCTTTAGGTTCACATTCTTCATCTTAGATTTTGGCTTCATGAATTGTTTGCTTCTTCTGCAATTGTGCTCATAGAAATATCTACACTTAGACCAAGAAGTTGTTGACTGAATGGAGCAAAGGAATAGAGCAAGGTTTAAAACCAGCAAAGGTGTGCCTCAGGGATATGTCCTTTCTCCATACTCTGTCCTTTAGGGTCTCTATCAGTCAGAATTGACTTGTTGGCAATGGATTTCTTATAATAAAAGAGTGAGCCTATAAAATATGTTCAATAAACATTTAGAATTAGATTCTTTTGCAGCTGGATGAAAGGAGAAAAAAAAGTAGATAAAACTTAAAGAGCACATCTCAGCCCCTGGGTGGTGCAAATGGCTAATGAACTCGGCTCCTATCCAGTAGGCTTGAGGCTCCAGTTGACCCAGAGGCACCTTGGGAAAGAGGCCTAGTGTTTTACTTTTGAGAAACAGTTGTTGAAAACCCTCTGGAGCACAGCTCTATACTGACACATGTGGGCCCACCATCAATGGGAATGGAAACAACAACAACTGGTTACAGAACATATGAGGGTTGTGAAAGGCTGGAGACTTCATTTAGTCTATTTCCTTTATTTCACAGATGGGGAAGGTGATGATCATGGAGGGGAAGTACTTTATTGTAATATATTTGAATAGAAAGTTTGTATCAAACTTATTGATGCAATATATCTGTTTCTGAGGCTGTGTATCTTATCTAAATTTTTTGAGTGTTCATAAATTTTCAGTTTACACTTCACTGTCTAGAGGGCATACATAGACTTATGTCATACTCTTCTTAGAAATTATTTTAACAGGATTTCTTTATTTCATGTCAACAAAATTGGTCTTTTCTATTAAAGCACTATTCGTTTCTGTTTTACAGGGAAGGTCTGATAATGAACAGTCCTCTTATCTTAAACAATCTTATTTTCTTATTTCACTAAGGTGCCTGGAAGGAAAAGTCAGCAATTCAAGGACGGCCAAGATGAGTGACAACTCTAATTTGGCTCCTCCAGCTTCAAACCAGGGTTCCACTACCCCCCGCAAAGGTCCTCCAAAGTTCAAGCAGAGGCAAACCCGCCAATTCAAAAGCAAACCTCCTAAGAAAGGTGTGAAAGGGTAAGATTAAAATGAAAATAGAGACTTTCCTCCTCATCCGACCCCTACTTGACCCCTACTCGCACAATGTTTTGTAGACGTGAATGTTTGCAATATTTAACAGTCTTAAAAATATTTTCATTTTTTCCTCCATTTTCCTGACACCACCTTTCTGATATCATGCCTTGAGCCCTGGAATTCTGTTCATTTCAGCTTCCAGATCTATGCCCAAATGTAACACAACAAATGGAATCCTTCACAATCTCCTTTGACTTGACAAACATCCAGATCTTCTACTGGCCATTTATGGAAAATTCTTTACTTTTATGCTTTCAGTTTGGTGTTTTTCTTTCTCTCCCTTACATAATCGTATTTTTCTCCAAAGCCCAGTTCTTATATTAATTTTGGTTTACATCTTTTCTGACTATTTTAGATAAACTAAATCATCATTTCTACATTTATAGTTTGCATGTTCAGCTATTAGGACTCATGTTATTTTATATTACATTCATTTACATTCCATTTGTCAAAGGCTGAGAACCCTCAAAGACTGTTTTGTTTACAGTAGAACTCCATGTCGAACATATGCCTAGAACATGGTGGATGCCCAACAAATGCTTGTGAATAAATAAGTGAATTGATGAATTATTTAATGCCTTTCATGTAATGATCTAAGTTTAATTTCTATTTTGAAAACCAAAGTTTGACTAAATTGTTCCACTGTTAATCCTTTTTGGCTCTTATTTCAAACTTAGTTTTTACAATGAGCAAATATTTCTCCAGTGTATGGAACCTATTTGTGTAACATTTTCTTTGCCTCAATTCAATGTGAATAAAGATAGTTTTACAAATTTAGAAACTCAATGCTCTTCTTCTTCCTCTTTGAAGCAGGAAACTTTCCAAGTGAGTCAGCCCAGGGTCATGGTCTTCTGTTCTGGACTCGGCTAATTTCTCTTTTGTTTGTTTATTTTTTTCATAGGTTTGGAGATGATATACCAGGCATGGAGGGCCTAGGAACAGGTGAGTCACTCCAGGATTTAAATGAGAGCAACAAGAGATGAGAGAAAGTTATAAGAAATACAGCAAATCCTTTGAGGACATGGAAGTGCAGGGTTTGATTTAACTTGCTAAGTAAATGTGAACTCAGATGAAACTCTTTCTCAAAACAAGCCTAACCAAGCACACTACTGTTGAAGTAATTTTCACTTACACAGACCTTCCACTGGATTCCTGAGGCTGTAAATCTTATGAGGCGACAACTCCTCATTTTCCTCTTGCAGAGTGCCTGATGGATTTGAACTGACAACTCTGTCTTTAGGAGCCTCATACGTTATACGCTGTGTCACCAGGACTTCTGTCAGATGCAAAGTTACTGGGGGGGAGGGGGATCTCAATCTGGTTAGACTCAAAGTTTAATAAATTGATCTTGACTTATTAAGCAACTTGTGAAATCTATAATGGTGAATGATAATGATAAGTTCTCAGATTCAGTCCAGTCAAATTTTAATTTTTGCTTTTATCTGAAGAGAAACCAGAAACTTAGGTGAAGTGATAATGTGAGGTTCTGGAAATTAGGGTGGGGCCTGGAGTACTTTTCTTCATTACCAGGCAAATCATCCCCTGTACCACCTTTCTGTTTTTACCAAGTGGCCCTCAGCAGGGGCTGTGTGCACAAATTGCATACAGTCCGCTATTGATATAAGTGGTGACTTTCAAGGGTATCAGTGCATTCATAGTGTGTTAGGTTTTTTGTAGCCAAATACCACTCCTGGTATCTCAAATTCATTGTTCCAGCTTCTGTACAAACTACATTTATGAAATTTTTTTCAAATAAGCTGCTCATGTATTAAGGAGCTCTGCTAGCATGGTATGTAGGGAACTGCACTGCTAATCCAAAGGCTGTGCCTCTCTGGCAGGTTTGAACCCACCACCAACTCCTTGGGGTACGGAAATGCGATCTCCTCCTGTGCCATTTATAACCTCTGAAATCCTGCTGGAGGGTCAGCCATGGGCTGATTCTGTTGCGATGGCGACGAGTTGTTATCTTATTATTATTTATTTATTTTGTCAATGTCCACACAAGGCTAGCCCATCAATTTTAGATTCTAGGAGATTGGCACAACTCTGCTGATGTATTGGGAATTGCCTCTAAATTGTGGCAATTAAGTGGGTGAAGAGAAAAATCAAAGATGCCTAATGAACATAGAAGCCAATGGATTTTCACATCATGGGAATTTAATTAAAAAAAACCAAACCAACAAATCTATTTCTCGTTTTAACTTGAGGACTCACTATAATTCTCTTCTAAGTGGTTATGCTTTGGGGAGAATTTGTATGCACCATCAGTGAGTTGTACTTCCACAATGTGGTTCCCGTAAAAAGCCATGACTCGCATCCTCATAAAGGATTCTGACTGATAGCAGTGGAGATGCCTGAAAGAAGGATGTGGACAGTTCTGGGGTAGCCAGAGCCACATTGAGGAATAACTGATTTTTCTTGGGCTATCAGACCATTCTAGATATCTTCTCAATCATCAGACAATGAGTCACGGAAGCAGGAAGGTGTCTCTGCCCGAAGAGGCCTTCCTTTTTGAGCAGAAGAGGCTGTTTTAGAAGTGAGGTGGGCTTACATGCTCTTCTTCCTTCTCTTTCAGATATCACTGTGATTTGTCCCTGGGAAGCTTTCAGTCACCTGGAATTACATGAGCTGGCTCAGTTTGGGATTATCTGAAGCCCCAGAGCTCTGTTACTCTTAACAGCATCTGCAGTAACTTATATTATGTTTGCCCTATTGATTTGTCCGTCTTGAAATTCAGCTGTTTGGAAGTGGTTTCTTTGACTTACACAGTCGTTTCCTATTAGCTACAACTAAGAGTTCTCCTAGTGTCAGGTCAGATTCTCTCTTGCAGTACAGCTCAGATGAGATAGTAGATAAGAACCCATTTAGGCTGGGTCATTTCAAATTTCTTCTTTTCCTATTAGCTAGTTAGAAATATTCAATATTTCTTAAGTTGTGTTTATTTGTAAATCTTTCCAATTTATTTTTGGTAGGCATTCATTATAATTAGTAGTAGACTTTCCAGATAACACTCCCTTCCCATTATCATTTAATAAAAGAGATGTTACCTCAAACCTTGTGCTGAAGTGGTATTGAATGCTATGTGTGAACACCAGACACTGCTCTGAGACAATTGAACAAAGAAATGTCACACCGGAAATAGGCACCATGAGAGACAAAAGAGCACAAGATTCAGGGTGAACCCCTGATGCTGCTTTGTAAATTCATAAATCACTTATCTTCTAGGTCTAAATTTTATTGAATCAGGATATCCCCTGTAGTGTCATGAAGCTTTCTGTTTTATAGTTTAACTTGGGGAGGAGGCTTTAACTCTAAATTCTTACCACTGTGAGCTTTTATTTTAGTGACCTGATTCTAGAACGTTCTCTTTCAAATGCACTCCACAGAATGATTCCACTCAGTGCTTAAGGTGAGAGTCACAAGTTATCTGTTTCCTCATTGACTGGCTCTGTGCATACCTTTAAGAAATTATCGTAAAAAACCATTCACTGTAATCATTTATTTTATATATGATTATATATAGGAGAAGGATAGGACATCTTCTCTTGTGCAGTTAACTGCCTCTGAAAATCTTCTGGTGGGTCAGCTCCAACTCAATGGAACACAACACTATATATAAAAATCAGAGATGAAGATAGGTATTTGAACCCTCCATGCAAATTGATGGTTTTGCTTCACTTCTAAAGTTATGCCACATAAAATGTGTCACTAATCTTTTGCCAATACTCCTAAAGCAATCATGCAGTTCAAATGCTGCCTCAGTCTGACTTGGATACTTCAGTAACAGTGTTAATTTCTTCATGCCAGTTTTGTAATCTGTGGTAAAGAAGTGTCGTAAACTAACTGAAAAGAGAGGGAAATGGATAGACTGGAAAGTGATAGGTGTTCTAGACTGGGCCTAGCCACTGAATTGCTGTATAAGCGTGGGCAGAACCTCATCTTCTGGGACCCTTCAATGGTCTGAATTAGACAACGCAGGGCTCCTGGTAGTTCTATATTTGAGATCATCAGAGACTGAGAATAGAGAAGAAAGGAACTCAGCACTCAAGTAAATTTTTGCTGTAGGAGAGTGAACTAAGTCTTTTGCACAAATCACTGTGGGAAAACAGTGTGACTTCTTCTGCCAGTGCTGCAGCTCTCTGGACAAGGGCACTTTACCTTTTTGTTTCTGGTTCATGAAAGAATCTGAGCTCCCATGGACGCGCTGCACGTTATGGTTCTCCTTTCCATATGGTAACGAGATTTCCATTTTTCCACCTCAAAGCTTGCTCAATTCAAGCTTGGTGGGATTGCAGAGCTGACCAATCTCCACACTAACCTTTATACATTTTACTTGCATGGTCTCACCCAAAAGGTGCCTTTTATTTTAGGTACATTATTACGAAGCTCTCCAAGCCCCTTGGCGGGCCACAGATACCTAGTGTTTTCATAGTTATACTGGGACTAGTGATGAAAGTTATCAAGTCAATGACTAGAAAAATCCTATTGGACAATCTGCTGTAGCACTGTAGCAATTTATCTGCTGGTCCAAAAACTAGAAGTACAAGAGAAAAAATAGAGTGCAAATTCAAAAGTGGAACCTTGACACACAGGAGGTATAGCAGAATGTGGGCTTCCTCCTTTCCTGCTTGCACCAATGCATCTGTTTTCACTTCTGCCAAAGCTGGCCCTGGTTCTTCATGTCACTTGCTTTACTTGACTGCCAATGCCTCTCTGTCTCTGCTGTTTCTCTCCAGTGTGTGCACAGTTTGTGAGGTCTGGATCTGCTCTGCTGAGTAAGACTCTGGACAACATTTGGTTTACTTTGCAACTATTTTCTCTGGTTAAAACAATAACATGGACAAAACAGGATACAGTCAAAGAAACACATACAAAGGTCAAGATGGAGATGGAGTTAGAAACAATGCCATGTGGAGAAATGGTGAAAGAACTGATAACGTTTAGTTCAGTAGAAAATAAGTGAACTGCACATACTTTTAAAAGTTAGGCAGTGCAGGATAAACAGCACCAATTTCATTTAAGAATGTCTCTCATTTCTGTCTTGTTGCCTCTGACTCATTGAGCATCCTCCAGTGGCTTTCCATAGATATAAACTGCATAGAAAGAGACTTCATCTTTCTTCCACAGAATGGTGATTTTAAGGTGCCAGAGAGCTGAAGCTTGGGGTTAGCAGTGCAATTCTCCATCGGCCATGCCAGCAGAGCTCCTTTTTAAAATTCTAGTCAGCGGTGATATAGCAGCACTTATGGTACAGAAGGTTAAGCACTTAACTGTTAGCCAGGTTTGCAGTTTGCTTTAAAGGCACTTCTCAGAAGGCGACCTGGTGATCTGCTTCCAAATAGTCACAGCCTTGAAAACCCCAATGGAGTAGTTTTGCTCTGTAGGCATGGTGTCACCAAGAATTGGAGTTGGCTTAATGGCAACTAGTCTTTCTTTCTGTCTCTCTGTCACTGTCTCTCTCTTTTTCTTTCTCTTCTTTTGTAAATTGCCTTCAAACCACAGTATAGCAAACTGACAAATGAGTGGTGATCAAATGATAGAATTTTATTATTTTTAAGTACTAGAAGAAGCCAGTAATATAAAAAACCATACATGAAAGATATAATAGTAAAACGTTGTGTCACTGAAGATCCTAGCAGCAAAGAGATAGTATCATCAAACAGGACAATTGAGGAAACTTTATAAAGTGGCTATAAAAGTTTAAGAAGGGTTAAGAAGAAACTGCAGAGCTTGGTGCAGGTGCAGTAACTCAGAGCTAGAAACAGAGAAGCTTTAATTATAAGAGGCCTAGAGAAGGGTTGCAGCCTTTAAGAGAGTGATGCAACCAAGCCACAGAGATCCTGTAGATAAGCAGAAGAAGTGGAGCAAGCCTAATAAATACCCCAATGCTCCTTCCCCTCCACTCTCCCTTCTTGATGCCTCTCATTGATGGGTCTCAAATGGAAATCACAGGGCCAAGGGGCTCACCCGTTAAGCCAGCAAAGGGCACTCTCACAGCACAGAGCAGGCAGAGAAAGGTGGACAGTGATGGGAAGGACAAATGGGAAATATCCAATGGAGAAGAGCTGGGCAAGGATTGTCCTACTCGTGGATTCTCAGGCAGAGCTGAAAAAATGGGCACTAACGGCCATTCTGATGCAAATCCTGGAGAGGAGGAAGGACAGTGTTTAACAGGAAATGTGTAAAAATTTTAGGATAAACAAGAGCAATTTCATTTGAGTCTCTCTCAGTTCTGTCATGTTGCCTCTGACTCATTGAGCATCCTCCAGTGGCTTTCCAAAGCCATAAATTACATTTAGGGCTTGAGGAATTTTTCAGAAAACTCTTGAAAGTTTTCTGATAAGAACTGCAGAATTTCTGAACAAATATCTCCAGGGAGGAATTCTTGGAACCTGTGTTTTGAAAATGAGCTCCAGGTGATTTGTGCCAATTTCAAAGTCCAGGTGGAGCCCAAGCTTGTATTTTACACAATGGGAATGAGCTATATCTTAACCAATTCAACCTGTTCTACTTGCCCCTACTTTATCTCACATACTTTGGGCATGTTGTCAGGAGGGACAAAGTCTTGGAAAAAGACCTTTGTCAGGCTGACAAAGGTGGAGGGTCAGAGAAAGACAAGAAGGACACCATCACCAACGTGAACTGACAGTGACTGTAACAATGAGCTCGAGCAAAGAGGATGGTGCGGTGCAGGGCATGGTTCAGTTCTGCTGTTCATATGGTCTCTATGAGCAGCAGTCAGCTCGATGGCACCTGACAACAATTTACCCCCAAATGGTACATGTAATATGTGGGAAAGGAAGAGCTAACTTTTGTGTGTTCTGGCACTCAGACTGTTTCATTGACTGGTAAAATAAACATGCCTCATGTCACTGAATATAACCCAGCTAACACTTCTCCAATGGCACAGAGCTCGGATGAAAGAGTTAGATTAACACAAGAAGCATGAGAGTGAATGGACTACATTACTGTCTGGGCCTGATTTCTTACCATGATCTATACAGCCAACCTTTCCCTGACCTCAGCTACCTTTTCTGACTGGAGTGGAGAAGACCAGGAAAGAAGAGAGCTTTTCTCTTGACAGCTGGAGATAGTGATCTTGATTTGTCCTCCACCTTTGTCCTGTTTATTTGCACCACTGGGTGGAATTTGGGTCTGATGGTGCTGGTAATCTAGGCATGTATCTTTACTAGGCATCAGTGGTGTTACAGTCAGTCATCAGAACAAACAAACTTATTGCTGACACAGGGATTCTAATTCTTGGCTACTTTTTGAAGCTACAAATCTTGATGGGAAGAGACTACCCATTTCTCTCTCTCAGAGTGGCTCACAAACAATACATCATTTAACATGCTGCTAGGGTTCCTTATAGTCAGAATAGTAAGTAAGAAAGGGAACTGTGATCGCTTAGTGGTGAAGAGGAAGAGAGGTGCTGTCAATCCAAAGACACCTGGTTCTAATACAACAGTTGCTCTGAAAGAGAAAGATGGGCAATCTCTTCCAATGTGATTAACCGCTTTCGAGGGCTGGCTATGAGTTTATTCTGACCCGAAGATACATAACAACAACATAGAAAGAGAAAATGTCCTTTCAGATTGTTGTATGTTAGACAAACATGCAAAAAAGTGAGTGATAGCCGCCACTTTTCTCTG